TGGTGGCAGCAGATCAATTATTTCGATCAATCTTTTTTAAGGAGGAGACACGAAAGTCTCCCCCTTATCTCGATTTTCACCCTTGCAGATTTGGTGAAAGAATAGACCTGCTTAGTCCCACTAGATGTTATCATTAGATTCGACTAATGTGCCCCTCCCCCTACAGAATCCCTTTGCTATGACGTCTGTTTAGAGGAAACCAAATATTGTTTAGCTGCCCTTTAGGGATCTATATCTTTTCGTGTCTCCTAAAGCACCTGTCTTCAAATGACCTTTACTATGATTGCAAGGTCGTTCAGCCTCCAAATATACAAACTGACAGGGCTCTGCATTGTTTTTTAGATATATTCTTTTAAAAGTTTTTAGAACAATGACGAAAATATTTATCACTTACATCTTTATTGTGAATGATAAATGCTCCAATGAGGTCTGACAGATTCTGTATCGTTAATGAATATCATACTGAAAGTCATTTGCACACAATGGAATATTGCAGAACCCGTCATACCAACGGTGCGAAGGAACAGAATAACGACGACATCGAAAAGGTATTTGCGAAAAGCTGGAAGGCGGCATGTTTTCCAGCTTAACCTTCAATACAGCGAAATATAACTAAAAAAATCCAACTGGAAATAATTGTGCAAGCGCAGATCGCGTTCACCAATCTTTCAGGATCCCTGTTCCTCTGCACTGTGGTTTTACTTCCGTTTGGATATAGTGGTAGCACAGATGGGTCAACACACTTCCTTTGACTAGGTAGCACAGTTTGGTAAGCACACTTCCATATCATATCATATATACTGATCAAAGATTTGAAATGTTTAGAAATCTTCATGAATACTTACCTCTAAGCTTAGAGAAATTATTGTATGGCCATGAAGATTATTCGAGTGACGAAAATAAAAATGTATTTATATATGTCCAACAGTATGTATCGAGTACTCGCAGGTTTTAAATTTGGTCACGTTCTTCTGTCTCCTCTCCAACAGCTGATAAGGTCGGACCTAGTAATCTGACGCTGCTTTCAGGCGAGCCTTGACAAAGCATTGCAAGGCCTGCATACACATTTGCATGTTCGCCAGGATTAATACCCGAAATTGTTACCGATTTATAAACGGACAAACCGGTTGTTCCGCATAAACGAGCAGGCCCCTAGTCTAAACTCGCTGAATCTTTTTTTGTACATCAGAACACTGTTGTTGATTATATTTTGTTTATTTTATATTTATTATTTCTCATAAAAGTCCTGTAAGGTACGGTCTTCTTAACAGAAATGATCTATATATCAAGGCTATAGTCATACCGAAAAATGTTTCCAATGTTTTCAATGTACTTAGTTACAGTTTCTGAAAACGGTACGATGATTCTTAAAACCCCGAGTCTCTTAGTAATGAGTGTTATACTTATAGCCAATGGCTGAAGTTATCATTCAGATTATTTTCTCTCGAAATAAAACAGGTAATGGATATTTTTGCACGAGTACTGACCACACAACTGAACAGTGGGACCAACATGTTTACCGGTCAGTGCTCTTGGTGTTGTGGTCGATCAAAGAGATACCATGGTCAGCCGAGATGTGCGATTCGGCAGGTCTATATTTACATTTGCTTGTAGATACTGATAACTCAGAACTCGAGGCGTATAATTGGCACTTGTCTGATATTCACATATAACTGACGGTTCTTTTGAAGTTCTTCTAAAGGAATTCTTGTAATAGTTAACTCTGACTACATATGTGTGCCAGACCCACTGTATACGATAGTGTGTGTGTGTCACTCGTTATCCCGAGTGTAAGGTACGACAACTCTGGGTAGAGATTTTCTATGTTTGTGTAGCTCATTAGTGTTAACATGGTGTAGACTATTGTTTTAAACTGCGTGTAGATTGAAACTCTATATAAGAAAAAATGTTTATATGTTTAAAACAACTCGTTCGGCTATCCACCTACCATTAGCGAGTTTTTAAATATCACTTTTTACTAGTCATCATATTTCCTTAATATTATCTTCGTCTGTATTTTAACAAAAAATATCATGTAAGATGTGTATCTCGCCGTTTCAACACAATTTTACAATTACATAAAGCGGAAACAAACAAAATTTAAGGAAGAGTGTCGTAGCGCTGTTTTTTAATCTCCAACAAATAAGAGTTCCATTTTGTTCGACATTTTCTGATTTGGAGCTAGTTGCCCTTTACGGTAAAAGCATCTTCGATACTCCAGGGGTTACGCTTACTTTCGTTAGACAATTTGTACAGATTCCAGACTCCAAATTCAATGATATGTCTGAATTAAGGTAGAGTGACCTAGTGGTCTTTGTTGTAAACGAGGCAACGGTGGCCAAGCGTCTGACAATCTAGATCTGCTACCACGTGGGGCAGTCGCCAGGTAAAGGCCGTTGGTCGGTATTTTTTTCTTTTCTCCGGGAACTGCGGCTTTCCTCCATAACCGAAAGCTTCATTCTTCATTGTAAGATACGTGAAACAAACCTTCTTCTTTTCGAGACACAAAACAGACATTCTTCATTGCAAGATACGTGCAACGCCATTCTGCATTGCTGGAACTATTTTATAAAGATAACCCGAGTAAGTCTAGTCACTGGCTTAGATGTGCGGCCTGGTAATTGATACCTACCAATCTTCCTTGCTACATCAAATTATCGTAAATGTTCACAGCTTTAATTGACATGCAGAATATGCATTTACAAAAGGAATGCTCTCCGTGGCACAGTGCCATACCGGATCTCAGAGATTAGCAGCCGACAGTTTCCTCGTCAAATTTCATCCAAGTGTCGAAATACCGTTACTTTTATTTTGTTTTGGCTCTATTTCCATTATAATCTACCAAACGGATAGCATCATCACAAGAACGCCATTTATATGGAGGTCCCGAGTTGACGAAGGTAGAATCCGACCACGCGACAGAGACATATATACATGTTTCATTCATGTTCTGAAGTTGAGGCTAGTGATATGAGTTGTGTTTGAACCTTGGGGTTTAATCATTATGGTTATATAATTAGTAAATCATTCAAGACCTCACGTGCATAAACACGGTACAAATCGAGCCAACACGGTAGCACTTTGTGGTGATGGTATTGTGCACAGTTCAAAGAGAGGCACTGCAGCCGGTGATAATATATGTACACAGACCGATGTTAGGCAATGCAAATCGTAGAAAACAATGTTATACACATACACGAATGTAAACCAAGAATTGTATTTCAAAGGGTTTGTAAAACTAAACATCTTTTTGAGTTGCTTTTTGTTTTGTGAAATAATGATTATTGAAATGTGACATATTGTATTTGATTTCAGTTTTATAGGATACAAGTTGCTATATAAAACGACTAGGAGTTATCGTCAAGCTGTACTCGTCAGTGATTAAGGTTTGTGCTTGGTTGGGTGTTGTCCAAAATACGTGTCCTTGCATCAACCACAGGAATGAGACGGACGCTTCAGAGTAACTATTATGTTCGGTTATTATCGCTTTCTCAGGTTTATATATCCACATATTCACCTCAACAAAGGTATATAATTTATAAATATTTATATACCAGCTGCAAAGGGTCCTGCTCTAGATATTCATATCTATTCTGCAGTCCGTTTATGTCAAAACCGAAGATTCATAGCTAGCAATTGTATTAGCACCGTTGGATAGAATCTAACCAATCGCAAGGTTAATCGAAAGTGATGACCAAGTAACTGAGCTGAGATCAAAGCCTGTGCATTTTACCGTTACGCTGTGTTGCGATTCCTTACACTGAATCCAACTGTTCCTCTGAGATCACGTTCCAGACTAGTTAACACGTGTCGTCAACAACGTTGCGTGTTAGGAGCCTTCTTTTTATTTTTTTATTTTTGGAACAACCAGAGCTGCGTAGTAGATATTTAAACATTCTGGCGTTTCGAAAGTATATAGCGAGAATTGTTTGTCATCTTTGGTACGTAGTCCACATGCGTTTCATAGACCTCGGTATGGGTGCGTACACAGGGCGTAATCATTCTCTAGCTTTCCGTCGACTAGTCACGTTTTCCAGAGATTTTTAAGGTTTACAACATTTGCGCCATGCAGGAAGATTCAAGGCATTCAATTTCGAATCAGATACAGGCCGCGGTCAGCAAGTCTCAAAAGAAAATAAAAAATGCTCGAGCATTTAGACAACTTGATCTCACAGAAGTTGAATTCTTTCGAGAGATTAAAGACAGGCTATAGTACGGCAAATGTATATTTGCGTGTTTGTGTTTTTATTTCGGATACAAAGTCGTGAGAAGGAGTGCATGTTGAGCAGCTGAAAGTTTGGGTTTCGAAGCTGATGTTGTATACAGTACATATAATAGGCATTTAGTGTTAAACTAACAGTCATCCAATTCAAAATTACACATAGTATGATATCTCATCTATATAAAACGTGTCCGATTGGTCTAAAACACACCACACAACTGGGCGACAAATTATCTTGTCTCCTTCACGTAATCGAGTCTCCTTCACGCGATTGAATCTCTCTCGCGAAATTGAATCTCCCTCTCGCGGTTCATTTTGTCGGTTGAGTCCCTCTTGTACCCTTGTATCTTTGATAAATCTATAACGCTAAAAGCACATGCATGCTGATGAGTGCTCCTGGTACTCTTTTCTGTTATGATGTTGTTCTATAGCGCTAAAATATCATATTTCATTTACATTGTATAAGGGAAACATGATTATTTGTTTCCTCTCGAATAATCAATGTTTCACACGGGCTGGCATATTCAACAAATATTTTAAAGGAACATCTCAACGTTTGGTGCTTCACACCCAAAATATTCTAACATGATTCTGTGTTCGTTTCCTGTCGACATTATTTTTCTATGTGTTTATGATTTTTATCTGCTTGTTTGTTTCTTTATTTATTTGTCTTTTGATTTTTGATTGTTTTTGTTTTCGTTTATACTTTACAATAAAATTAATAAACTTGTTTTTACATCATTTTTGACGTATTTTTATGTATTTTATATTTTCCCAGCGAGATCCCGCGTTGGAGACACAAGCTTTGGAATGGGTCCAGCATAACTATGGTAAACCGATCGACTTGAAAAGTGGCATCGAGAACGTACTTAAAGACGGAATCATACTCTGCGAGTAAGTTACTGCTTCATCAAATCGACTTCCGGTTTTAGGACTCGCACAATTAAAAAAATTACTATATGTCATTACTAAGCATTTGATCTAATAGCGTTTATATTTGAAGTTCAACACTAGTGACAACTGTCTATAAGATTCACAAATGCATACCTGATAAAGGCTTCAAAAGGCGTTTTTAGTTAGTTTAGTTGCATATAAGAGCGCTACAGTCGTATGCTTTCGACAACCGGAAGTTTACAAGCCAAACCGGTGAAGTGGGACGGGAACACCCCCTGGCATTTGACCACATATCAATCCGCCATCACATATTAAAATCCACTAAAACTATACATTTTTTCTGGAGTTCAATATCTGTAGAATTCATTAAATGTAAAATATGTCAACAATTACCTCAATTACTCAGAGGCACTGTATAAAACCGGAACAAACTTTAGGTTGGGATTACAATCGTATGAAGCACTTACTGATTGGCTGATTTAGTTGTGTGGGACCTTCTAACTGTTTCCGGTTCTTAATTTCCTGAATTTTTAAAAACCTTTCATCAACTTAGATATGAAGTCGGATAATTTGTAATCAATGTATATATTTCAGACGTCTTTAAATGACCCTAGGTGTTATCTGGATGGTTAACAATTCAAAACCTAAACCAAACATTCCGGACGATGTAAATAAGTTCAAACCTATCCCAAGAAAATTAAAAAAAAAGAATTAAAAAAAAAGAAAATAATAACAATAATAAAGCCATATTTTGAAAACAAACCATCATGAACCAAGCGGCAGTTAAAGTACTAATAGCTATTTCTAAAGGCAAGGGATACCATATATGAGGAACTGATTTTTTTCCCGTCGTTGTGAAAAACATGACAGATTTTTTAGCTTGATGCTGTCTTGTGCCCCCCCCCCCCGTAAAAACCCAAGTCTTTTCTAGTATGTGTTTGCATGGCCATATAAGCAAATAATGTACCCGCTACATATCTCGTTGTATCTTATGCAGTATGATGAACAATCTAATGCCCGGATGTATCAAGAAAATTGATCGTAAGGGAGGCGGTTTCGCTCTGATGCAGAACCTCGGACGATTCCAAGACGCGGCGAAGAAGTACGGAGTTCCAGCCGAGGAGGTTTTCCAAACTGTTGATCTCTGGGAGAAAAAGAACATTTGCCAAGTCACATTATGTATACACGCCTTGGCGCGAGTGGTAAGTGACTTACGGCGAATATTTAAATAATTTTCAAGGCATAACTATGGTAATGGTTTTCTTATCCGATTATATGTATACATATCTATATATAAAAGAATTGGATTTCAATTTGATCAGTGTCATCCGACCCCCGCCCCCGTTCTGTGCTCTCTTTTTTCATCCGAATACGATAGTATTTTATTAATGAGTCCGTCAGTCTGTCTGTTTGTCTGAAATCATGAGTGCGTCGAATGCTTGTTTCATTAAATACCTAGCCAATGTTTCTTTTACATAAGGGAAAGGGCGTCCATAATGTTAACGTAAAGTGTGGCCAATCCCTGTGCTGTATCAATCCTTATGGTAATAAAATATTTTTAAACATTTTTTTTTTTCGATGAATATCATTCTAAATAACTATCTATAAACAGTGCATTTGATACGTAAAAATACGTATCGAGATAAAAGACTTGTCAATTCAAAATAAATTTGCTGCCCCAGATTTGTGGAGAAAATAATTAATGATGATGTTACGAAAATCATGCTCTTGTCAGGTGTAAAAAAAATGTAATCTTTAACTATATTTGATTAATTGGCGTTAACGGGCACGTGAAATGTGCACGAGATTTTATCTGATCATGGTTTTCAAAATTTTAGCTTGTTTTGACAGGACTGTCCCAATATCTCAGGACAGTTTGGTATGAATTATACAAACTAAGTAAGTTTTGAACACAAACATCAATTGAAAACTTATTTTGCGAGCTATCGAAAACGTATGTTTCCTTTGTCGAGCAAAGAGTGCTAATTACCGGTGTCTCGACTTTAAACCACTTAAAACAACTCGCTTAGCCAACATAAGCTTGTGTAATATGTATATACTAGTATGCAGATTACGTGGAGGACAGTATTCAATCTAGAGCTGTTACAGACAATCAATGATATAGTTTCCAATTTGAATAATTTCAAAGCTACAAATCATGACTACGTTTTTGTTACAGGCTCAAACGAGAGATGACTACAAGGGGATGATACTCGGACCAAAAATGGCCGAAAAACAAGAACGCGAGTTTACGGAGGAGCAACTGAGAGAGGGACGAAACGTCATCAGTCTACAATATGGCAGCAACGAAGGGGCGTCCCAAGCAGGCCTCAACATGGGGAAACCACGTTCTATCATGGACTAGGTCATTCATAGTGAACTGAGTCATCTAGACGCTTAACAGTATTCTAGATTACATTGACGCTTAAAAAGTTATAGTTCCACTGAACGGTTACTTGTGTATTAGACTGGATTACCTGTCTAAGTGCACTTTCTCTCAGTCGAGGATAAGGATTTTGTCAGCATCTTAATTGTAGTTCGGCATCTTAAGGGCAATTCGGTCTAAATAGTGTATTAATAACTCTATACGAATCAAAAAGTTTAAGGCAGTCTAGTCGCTTTTAAAAAATATATCTAGGTACTTAAGTTGCTTTCAAGTGTACACTTAGTTCACAGTTGCGGGTTTCTGTACCGCTGCAAAAACTTAGCTAATATGACTATTTAATGACTGTATTCGATCATTTCTAATAACTGTGTTCTGAATTTATAAATTCAACGGGGTAAGATCAGGATTCGAACCCTTGACCTCAGATCATTCTAACCAACTAAACTACCCAGTCATTCTCGATGGAAGCACTCTGGCTCAGTCGCGCTGTAGTACATGACATATAAAAAACGAGAATTAAAGGGAGGTAACTGTATATAAGAAAAACTACAGTTGAATTAAAAAAGTGTTTTGCCTGCGATGGGATAGGTATCCTTAAAAGCGTTGTTTGTTATCTTAAAGCTGTATGATCCATTTAACATAAAGTGCAACTAAATCAGTAATTATTATCAGGTTTGAGTTTGTTTTGTCTTTTTAAACTATTTTGGTAATTTCGATATTTCACTCACCTTGTTTTACAACGGAGACCCATTTGAGTAATGGCGTGACTGGATATCGACTTTTGTGTTAAAACCCCCCAAGAAATATCCAGACATATTTGACTTAAAAAGAGACAATTTTTGAAGGGAGTCACATAGATTAGCTCGGGAAACAGTATAACGGTCATTGACTGTATCGTTTAGAATTATTTCCCTTTTCTTTAATCCAGAAAAGTTGCATTCCGGATTAATGATAGTTGTTTTTTTATATTGATCCGGAAAATCAAGTTATCCGTTTTTAAAATTGTAAACTGTAAGAAATTAACATATTTTTAACCAGTTCCAAACAATCCCGTCTCGCCTGTAACAGGCACTTTAACCGTTGTGTAGATTTAAGTATTATACATTTTAGCTTAGTGTACAATGAATATAGAATATATAGACACAACTAATTGGTGCGATACAGAACCGAATGTAAATGTGTGTAATTTCCATGATTTATTTTCATTGCCATATAGATTTATTTTTTATTTGTTCATACTCGTATCGATATGGTTTGTTATAATAAAGTCATTTCATCAAAATCATGTTTCCTTTTTTTTTTTGTATTGTCAAACGTTAAATATTCACTTTTATAAATACATCGTTATATGATGGTAATATGAACGTAAGCTACAAACAGATGGATTGAAATTTGTAGACATAGGTAGATTATAACGGTTCACGGACGACCTTTCTCGCTTCAATCGTCTGTTTGATATCAAGAGAGAAAGTGTTTGGTATAATTTTTGGATTTTTCGTCTTTTGTGTATATCAACTTTTTAACTCGTCAGAGGGAAAGGTTTAACCACGGAATTAGATTATCTAAGTCCGTGGTTTAACTTACTTTTAATTACGCAGTTAAACATATGCATAGGGACAGTCAATGCATTAAAAATACATAAAACGTGAAAAAACACTATATATATATTTGAAATTAAGTTCAAGTCCTCGAACTTAGCCAAGTTCAAGGGATCACATAAGTCACTGAGAACAAGGTATCTAGAGTTGTCTACCTTGTCATAATTAAATTATTGCACGAGTTACGCCCCTTAGACCAGTGTACGATTGAAGATAATGTGGTTAAAAAAATAATAAGACACCATATAAATGTCATTACAACTTTTCAAAGTCTTTTCCAATTACACATTTACAAACACTTCATGATTAAGAAGACAAGGAATGTGTTTAAGCACAGTATCAACCTATTGTTTGAATTAATAAAGTGATGCAATTATTTTTAATAATTACACTAAAAGATATGTATAATAAAAAAACAGTTGGGGTTCTAAACTTTTCTACTGTTAAGGTCAAGTGTATGTGTACACAAACCTTTCTAAGAGCTTTGTATGAAACGTGTCTTACTAACTTTCTCCAAAACGAAAGTATATAGAAGATGAACGTGTATTAAACTATAGAAGAGGTTTTGAAAGAAGTTGAAAAAAAGCAAAGGTGATACTTAACGTTAAAATTAATTCCAACAGCAAAAAAACAAAATTTCGTGCATAAAGTACGACTGGAGAGGAAGTGTAAAGCATTTCATATAACGTTTGCAACGTAACGACACTTCGTATTGGTTAATTATTGGAAGATGGACCATGCGCGTGCATTTATATTTTCAAACAGATCAACGCTCTTCCAAGACCCTCCCCGGCTAATGTAAACAAGCGAGCTGAAGGACTGGTTTCCGGTACACGTATAATTGTTTATTTATTTAAAAAATTGCTAGCGGACAAACAAAAATTGTTCCCAAATATATCAAGGAAGAAATACACAAAATAGAACAACTGCCCACAGGATAAAAAAATGATAAAACGTGCAGCTTATTGTGAAATGAGACAAATATGCATTACGTGACAAATGTAAACGCGGGCAAATGAACGGCCTAACTTAAATTATTAGATTATCTACGTCGCGTTGCTTATTATAGGCGCATGGACACTGAGGTAGACTTTCATTACATTTTATGTGGTAGAATAGATTTAATCAATATATGTTTGTATATAATGGCGGAAAATATAACTCAGGATTGGAAAATGTTGGGGATAAAAGTCAACTCATTCTTTTACAACATTTCTCACTCTCGTTATATATTCCACCACAATACAATATAATAAGCGTCAATAGGTTATTTAAGAAATCAAGAAGATAATTATTGGTCTGTACAGTATCTGATATGGTGTGAGTTTTCTCCGTTGTTCTCGATCGGAAAGAGTTTCTAGAAATGTTTTAATGTGTGAATGGAAATTTGGACAGTAAATTAGGGGATAAAGTTCAACGCAAAACATGACACATTCTCAACATGAAGAAAAAACAGAATCTATACCAGATGAACGGGCCCGCTTTAGAGCAAGTACAATATAATCCATAGAAAGAATATATAAAGTGGAAAGACATATCCACTCCACGCTTCTAACCATGTTATATACAAAATTGCCTAGGAGACAGTAGGAAAACATCATACATCGCGCTAGCTGGATCCGTTATGGGAAATGGAGCAATAATTTCGGATTTTAAAATGAAAACAGGCAAGATAAATTTGAAAATGTTTAAGGAGAGGAGCGCGATTTACCTAAAGACCACAGAACATGACAAGAAAGATTCATGACAGTACTCCAAAGAGACCTGCAACTACCATCACTTTCATCAAAAACACAACAAAAGATACTTCTTTTACAAAAAATTTAAGGAGCAAACTTCCATTAATGGCCAGCAAAAAAGGAGAATGCAACGTCTTAGATTTCAAGACTGCGAGACATCATGCTTCGCGCCAAACTCGACTAGGAACATCAACAGAGCAGTCATTACTCAAAGCACTAACAGCGAGCATTAACGAAACTCATTCTTCGTGGAAACATCGGGACGTCTATACAATAGGTGTACAGTGAATAGAGGCATTCAAAGCGACACCTACTAGCTAGGACTCACCAATGCTATTTTTGGCATGCCTATAATACCCTCAGCATAGGAGTCATTTTTAACGACCTATTAACAGCTGTGGTCACTTAAGGACGTGCCAGGTTATGGTTTTGGACGAAAACCGGAGTACCAGAAAAAAGTCCATCAACCTGCTGCCCGTATCCGGCGACTGCTCTACGAAGGCCTCGAACCCGTAAAACAGTGGTGGAGGGCTAGTTGTAGCAGAATGTCAGATGTCTTAAGCACTCCGCCACCGCGTCCTCTCTTTCGTTGCAGATTTTTGTCCTGCACATCCATTTAATAATTTACAAGCTTAATCCCGACTCAGTAAGTATTTCAGTCTGTTTTCTTTAATGAATATCGGTGATTTGTTTATGCTCCTTAACACATTCACCCCTGAGAACACATTTGAACTCTTCCGATTCAAAGGTTGGAATAGTTCACTGTAAAATGTCAGTGGTGAATGGGTTAATGTTAATTTTATTTACGTTTACAGCACACCGGCTGTCTCATGTCTTTCTTACTAAGAACGTCAATCATAGTAACTCATCAGAAATGTCATTTGTAATCATATTACACCCATTCGAACTTACCACTAAGAGAATATTTAAGCTGTAAGTCCTTTATGACCATGTTATTGGGATTGTTTTACTTCGTATAGAATGTAAAGCTTACGTGATTAATGAATAAAAGGGTAAAAACCCTACTCCTGGGATTAAACTCCCGCGAAAAGTCATTTACAACACACTACTGGGATTCGGAATTAAAATCTCTAAACATTCCTTTCTTCTACAATTTCTGATAACATTCTTATAAAGCTCTCGAACGGAATTGGAACTCACAACCTCAAGAATGTAAGACATATATAACTGGAGAATACCATTTACGCCTACGATCGGTTAACAATGCTTTACAAATAACTTATTGTATTTCAATGCAAAATATATGTGGAGTGTCTCCTATATTTAAAAATAATGGTATGCAAATCAGTGGTCTGTTGTCTCAATCTGTCCATACATTGCTGTTGATAAGTCTTTATGGCATGCATCGATAACAAAGAAGTGCACTGTATAATTATAGCCAACGGTGCAAACCCTTTGTTATACATCTTATTGTCTCACACACAAAGCACTAAGGTAGATATATGCGCCACAATTTTGGTCAGGTAGATACAAAGGAAACTATCGCTGTCTACCCGTAAACACCTCCTGGAAGTTCTAACTGGGAAAGAAAACAAACCGACAGCATTGCAAGTATGTTAATAATTTGTTGTTGTTGATGTTGTTGTTGTTGATGTTGCTATCAAGAATATATTTTATGGACACAAACAATGTTGTAAATCACATCTAATGGCGACATACATGTATGTGTATTGGTTGGGTAGTATATCAGTCCAAGGGACACCTTAACAGATACACATGTAAAACACAGTAATTAAGGTATTGTATATAAGACCAGAACTATATGGGTAGGTATAGAAGTAATTATGTGTAAGACGAGACAACAGATAACCTATGCTTTGGATGGCTTAACATGTACACTACATTTAAATTGATATATATAGGAACACAGTTACTGCCGTAAATCATTCAATACACACAATATTCCGTTTCTGATGTTAGCATACTCTGCTTTATTTTCTTATGTAACTTTCCTGGTGAGAGAACAAATAGATACTTGTGGGTGATCAACGCACATCATTCAATAAAAACACGAAGTTGTGTCATTACTACACTTAGGATAAATTGATGCGGGAAACTACACTTACTCACATCCAAGATGGCGTAAGGAACAAACGCTGAGTTACGTGACTCAAATATTCATATTTTCAAGCATACGAAAGACAGTATTATATAACAAAACGGACGCCGATATGGATATCAACATAGTTTAAATCGATAAGTGTGTTGGGAGTTATGAAGTTCAGGTGTTGGCATATCCAGTTACCAATATCACATGTGAGTTTTAAAAACTTAGTTTCGACTTTTCATGATAGATTTTTTTCTAAATGACTCCCCTTAAAAAATGACATTAAATATCTTTCATGCAGTTTCAGTTATTGTGTGTCTCAAAAATGCCCGTAAAACATAATGATTTACAATGAAAGATGCCGTTTGTGACTTGCGCCATCTTAGATGGGAGTAAATGTAGGTACCCACGTCAACTTCTCACCAATGGTGACGAGACGATAAGTCGAGGACTTTCCATGACAAAAGTCAAGGTCGAATGAAACTACTCACGTTCATCAGAAGATAGATTCCGTATATATATTTGGGGATGTTTATGATCATTTAATGATTTAGTTTCTTATTTCTTTACAGAACTGATGCTGATCATTTACACAAAGCAAGTCATCACTGTAAGAATTATTTACATATACTAAGGATGATCATTGTTTAAAGAAAGGTCAGGAACATTCACAGGCTGAAAGGTTCCTGTCACCTGTGTATTAATATAGATATTACCTCAGAAATCAGTAGGCCGAATGGCAGAAAAGGCGATTTCTTTCTATAAAGGACAGATAGCGGTTCGCGGCCAGGATCAAACTACATGTGTACACCACAAAGGAAAGACTTTGGATTGGTTTTGTGAGACATGTTATGACGTCATATGTGCCAAATGTGTG